ACTGGCAAGGCCACATGAGAAAGAGTGAATATAGGCCAAGTGTCAACCAAACCTTGAGGACTTGAGTGGGAGCCTTAAGAGACACAGGAGCTATCCTTCATCCCAACCCTTGCATTCCCATTTTGCAAAGGGCTAAGGATGGTCCTGCACCTTGTGTGAATTACAGTTCATTGACCATATTCCCAAGAGAAGTCTCTTTATCTAGACAAGGATTCCAAAGTAGCATCTCCACTGATAGGGAGAGAATGTAAGGTTTAATTAGCAATGTCTGTCGTGAGTACTGGATGAGGTAGGAAGGCTGGCTTGCTATGGAGGGTTATACAACAGCATATAGAGTTGCATTGTTCTGGATAAAGTCTTTGGAAGGAAAATCCTATTATTTTTTTCTCTATCAGTGTTTTGCTTTCTATGATAGTAGGTTATGGTAGCGCTTGATAAGACCTAGGAGTAAATAGAACAGATACTCAGGCTCTGACCTGGTAATAGAGATCAGGTTGCACTTAGAGAAACGCATGACACTGCATTCAGGTGTCTAGTATCACCATGTTTAGCAGCATCTCTCTGTTCAGCACCTGTATGTGCAGCTGGTACTCATGAGGCTGTGTTCTTCAGCTTGGTGTACAAGAGACACAAAAACTCTGGTCTCAGGGCTTATATTCTAGGAAAGATGCTGTTGCCCCTTATTTCAGATTGGGTTCTACCTATTTCAGTTATGGGAATTGAACAAAAAGTCCTATTCACGATAGGTAAGTACTCTTATCATAAGCTATATGCTCAGCCCCCTTAATTACTATAAAGGCTTATGAGGGAGGGGCAGCTCCAACCACTGGAATGCTGTTCCACAACATATGGGAGTAGTTTTTCTCATCGCCCACATTCTCTTGCCAGATTGTGACTAGCCCATCAGTGTGTTCCAAAGCCCAATTGTCCATTTCTACCTATGAATGCATCATTAGCGGGAACTGGCACTTCCTGTTTCTTCCCTGTGGTATGTCAGTGTGACCCACATAGATAAAGCACAGGGATCCCTTCAAATTTGGCTGTAACTGTGCAGATTCAACAGTTACAGCCAAATCCCCCCTCTGGGCTCACACCTGCCCTATGGTGCCGCTTCTAGAACTCACTTTCTTTGCCCTGAGGGTTGGTGGCTACGTCCAAGTATTTGGCCTGTTCAGACCTGTATCTGCCCTCCTGATTTTGCAATGTTGCCAGTTTCCGAGGCCACAGTTGGACAAAAGCTCAACTTTATTGGACTAGACCCTTTAAGTGGTTTCCTTTGGGGAAGGAGGAGAGCAGCTGAATCTCTGCTTTGGCTCCTAAAACTTAGATTCAGCCTCAACTTCAGGTCAGATGCTGTGTCAGTGGGTACCACTCCTGATCTTTCTATGCTATTCCAAGGCTCTCAATATGAACATCTTGTTTTACTGACTGTGAGCAGGGAGGGATTGAGGGTAACTGTATCAGCTGGTTCCTCCTCTAGCTATCCCCCCAATGTTTTAGTGTCTATGTGAGGCTCCAGCACACAAGCCTCCTCCTGTGTCAGCCTCCCTAGTTAGTGCTAGGATTGCAGTTATGCACCACCACACCTACCTGCTATCAGGAGTCTTCACTGCAAGTGATAACAACCCAGTTAAAACTGACTTTAGAAAAACAGGCTTGTGTGGTTCATATAACTGGAGAGGGCTCGTTTCCTACATGTCTTAGTTGGTCATTAATTTCTGGTCTCTATGATGGTCCTTTCTACTTGATAGCCTTACATTTTGTTATGAATTGAGGGGGTCGGGGGAAGGAAGTGAGTGCACGGGAGTCAACAGAATGCACTTTTTCAAGGAAGGACAGTGGAGGAGGGAGAGTCTATTTCTACTGCAGGGGCTCTACTAACTGTCATTGACAAAGAAGGATATGGCCACATGCCACTTAGTAACTTGACTAATCCATGTTTGCAAAAGTATTGGAAGAGAAAGGACCCAAGTACAAAGCGAGAAAAGTAAGAAATGGGGAGACACAGGGATAGTGGCCAGCCCACATACCCCTAAACTTCCATCCATGTGCTGTCTTGGTGCATATGCTTGGGGGGCATCCCCAGCAACTTGCTGGTGTCATAGGACCATCGAAGTAACTTAGCATCCTTCCTAATAACTGCTGCTTGTCAGGTCTGGAAGGCACCCTGTTCATCTCCATTAGCGGTGGACATCTGTGCATTTGAGTTATTGCACTTTCTAGTGCCGACAAAGACCCAGAACAAGGCTGTCATTAGAAGCCCTCGTGGAGCAATGCTTTGCATTAACTGCTGCCTGTCACGCTTACAGCTTCTTTGCTGATATTACCAAATAAAGGCTGCCTCTTAATGACTCACTTTTATTATCATTATCACTGTCACAAAAAGGAACATCTAACTCATTCACGATGCACTTCCTGCTGTAGAATGTAGAATGTAGAATCTAATTCCTCAGACTGGCCCTCACATCTATCCTGCCAGACTGAACCAACCTAGTAGGACTACAGCAGTTCATGCACAGCTACTAAAGAGGTTTCTTTACTCAGTCAACAAACACTGACTATTCCAGGATGCATATGAACATGCTATGTGAATTGCTGAGCCAAGAAGAGGGTAACCTTGAAGAACAATTGCCCCAATGGGAATCTCGTGTATGGGACAGACAAGTAATTGGGCAGTGGCAGCAATGTGAGAGTCCTAAGACAAACAGCAGGAGTGTTAGGAGCTTGAGGATATGACCAGCCCAATCCTGGCTACAGGGATAGAAAGTGGGAGGGCAGGCGCACACTAAAGGGAAGAGATACACCCTGGGTGAAGCTTGGGAGTAGGGCCAAGTTGTCAAAAGGTCATGTGGAAGCAACAGAAACAATGGGACTCAAAATCAGGAAGTCAGAGGAGACTAGATTTCCAAGAACTATAAGAAACTTGATCCAGGTTGTCCCATAGGGAGAAGTGAGAAGAGATAGGCCTGGAGAGCCGCCTGCAGACTTTGGACATCACCTGTCAGTAGATTTCTTTCCAAGACCCTCTTACAGGGCTGTCGTAGGTGGTCAGTACTACAAATGTCAATAACAATATTCTGCCTTCTACATAACACCCATTCCTACATCCAATTATCTGGCATATAGAGCCAAAGGGAGTGCTTTGGCTATCTTATCCTGGCCATAAAATCAGGATCTTGGTGGCCTGGTGCTAATAAAACCCTTTCCAGCTGCAAAGGTATGTTTTAATTTAAAAAATAAAAAATCATGTGACTTTTCCAGCCTAACTAAAAACTCAGTTACTCAACCTCTGTAGCAAGTGACAAGAAATGTTAAGAAAAAATGGCATACCTATGACTCCAGGGGGCTTCTGGTTCAATTCTGGGTAAAAGCTGGGTGTTGGTAGTGTTTCCAACTGCTGGGTGACCCCTGGGTATTCAGAGCTGAGAACCTGCAGAGTGCAATGCCTGGCAGAAGGAGTTCTGGAGAAGAAAGGGCCCCCTTGCTGTACTGCTCAAGCCTTGTAGATTCACCATGCCAACCCTCCTTCCAGATCCTAGGCAGAAGCCTACAGGAGCTGCTGAAGCCTTCTGGGTGCTCTTACCCACTGCTAACAGGCATTAGGGTACCCTGTTCAAAGGCCAAGGTAAAGCAGCTGGACAGCAAGGGCTACCTACCTACCCTTAGTCCCTACAAGCAAGTCTGGCTCTGTGGTGGTTTGCATGAGAATGGCCCCCAAAGGCTCATATATTTGAATGTTTGGTTCCCTGCTGGTAGACTGTTGAGAAAGAATTAGGAGGTATGGCCCTGTTGGAGGAAGTGTGGCCTTGTGGGAGGAGATGTGTCCCTGGGAATGGGCTTTGAGGTTTCAAAGGCCCAGTCTCTCTCTCTCTCTCTCTCTCTCTCTCTCTCTCTCTCTCCCTTGTGTCTGTGAATCAGATGTGAGCTCTTAGCTACTGCTCCAGGCTATGGCTGCCTGGCTGTTGGCATGCTCCCCACCATGATGGTCATGGACTAACCCTCTGAAACTGTAAGCAGGCCCCTTGGCTAAATGCTTCCTTTTATAAGGTGTTTTGGTCACTGTGTCTCTTCACAGCAACAACAGAACAGTCACAAAGACAGGTTCTATAAGCCACAGTTCGAAGAGCTATAAAGCCTTATTGCCCCCCCCCCTTTCCTGGAAACTCCACGCTGGCTCATTAGTGCATTACTTCTTCTCACCCAATGACACGCATCGCCTTCCTCCTCATTCCCACCTCCTCATCTCCCTGGACCTCTGCCTTTGCCTTTTAGTCACTGCTACAGTTAGGTTTTATGTCTTGTCCCTGAAATGCACATACTTGGAATGAAAATGTGGTTGGTTTGTTTTTTTTTAAGACAAGTAGTGCGGGGTTCTGTGGTCCTTCCCTGTCACCCCATTTGCTATTATCCTCCTCATCCATCAGGGGCACCAATTGCCAAGCTCTCTAGGCGCTTCCCAGCGTGCCGCCCTGTACTGTTCCTTCTGTACCGAGACAGCAAATCGTTGGCTGAGGCCATGGATTGTTTCTCACAGCAATTAACAGTTGCCCTGGTGTTAATTTCCAATCAATAGCCTGCCATGCTTGGCTCCAAGCTGTCCGCTGGAGGCCTCTATAGCACATTTTGAAAGTAACTTGCCAGGAGGTAGGACTCTGGCCCTGGCTCCTCCAAAAGCCCTCACCAAGCATTTTAGGAATACCAAATGCCTCCCTTACCACTGCCAGGGGCCAAGGCACTAAGGGACCAGGCAGGTGGCTCTAGATACCTCTTACAGTCTGATGACAGATTGGGGACACAGGTGGAACCGCCTCTCCTCAAGAGTGGTGGCCCTTTGAATATTCATGAAGCTCTCATTTTCCTATTTTGGCTTTTTTGAAACCTTTTGCTGTGTTGAGGTGGCTGTATTTTTCTTCCATTTAAACCCCTCATCTGAAAACTCTCTCTAATTTCAATTGAATTTCCATGGTTTCTCATTTTTTCAACTGTGTCACTTCCTCTAGCTCCCTGTGGACAGAATGAGACCCGAGAAGATGGCAAGACAATCCAGCTGCCCCCATGTAAGACTGGAGCATGGATTGTGCCAGCCATCATGGCCTGCTACCTCCTGGTGGCAAACATCCTTCTGGTCAACCTCCTTATTGCTGTCTTCAAGTAAGTGGCCACTTCTTCAGGCCTATGGGTGGATGGATGGGCAGCATGGATGGAGGCAGCTGATATTTCAAAAAGTAATGATTTTGGTCATGTGACTCTCTGGTCTGTTTCAGCAATACATTTTTTGAGGTAAAGTCGATATCCAACCAAGTATGGAAATTTCAGAGGTACCAACTCATCATGACTTTCCACGAGAGGCCAGTTCTACCCCCACCACTCATCATCTTCAGCCACATGACCATGATATTCCAACATGTGTGTTGCCGGTGGAGAAAGCACGAGAGTGACCCAGATGAAAGAGACTACGGCCTGAGTGAGCAACAAGCCTGCACCTGCAGCTGGAAGTTCCCAGCAATTCCCATAGGCAGTCAGGGGGACCCTTGCCCTTCTTGGTTCTCCTGCCTCCTGCGTATTTAGGGGAATGGGAAAGGAACCTGCTTAATGAGATACATGATAGAAGGAAGACAGCATAGCATGAGCTGAAGCCAGAATTCTTAGCCACTTCTTAGTAAGAGAAAAAGCACTCTCCAACAGAGCTAGTTTGCCACCTTCATACACTTCTTACTTTCCAAGGGTCCCCCCACAAATCAGACATTACTATGTACCAAGTGCTATAATAGATATCATTTTTAAACAGTGAGGCCTGAGTTTTATTCTTCCATGCTCATTTCTGGGGCTAACTCTTAGTCCAGATCTTAAATGTTTTCTAGACCTTAAGCATTATACCAATATGATTTTGTGGAGAACGAGCCTTGTTTTCAAAGGAGAGAACAACAGCTTCTTCGCCACCTACTACCTACCACCTATCACCCTCCTTCTAGACTGATGTTTCTGAAGGGAAGTTTGGATGGCATTGAGCTGGAAGAGTTCCTCACTGTGTAAGAATGTATGACTCATTGCAGAAGACTTACCATATCCACCCCTACACATTAAGTACCAGTGCTCCTGCAGGCTCCTAAATGCCCCCTGGGCACCCAGTCTCAGGAGCCACTGGAAATGCAATAACATATAGGCAATCTACTGTGTTTTTTCCAAATGTGTTAAGTCTACATCTATGTTAAATCCACAGGCAGAAGCCTCTGAGATAATGTCCAGGATTCTACCTCCATCCCTGAGATACCAATATATCCATGGTTTAAAACGAGAGTCCCTTAGTCAACTGCTTCTCCAAGCCTAAAGCTCTTAGTCATCTCTCTAACAAAGCAATGCCCATCTTCTTTCTAGACATTCAGATCAGACCATTGGAAAGACCTGGCAATTCCATTACCATTCCCTTCTGAAATAAAGGTTAGGCAAATAGAAAGCTGGGTGCCCTGATATTTTGTACTCAAATCACACCAGCATAGTCAAATCCTAGGCAAGGAATGTTGTAAGAATATTCCACTTGGGTGGAGTGTTATGGGAGAATAGGATGAGAGGAGAGGAGGGAAGGGAAACTGCAATCAGGATTAAAATAAATTTAACAATAATAATAGATAATATTGCACTGGGGTCAACTCAGGGCTCCAAGTCAATTTCAATAAAGCATGAGCATTTCTGGTAGAAAACTTTGCTTAGCTATCAAGCACAAAATAACTGGAAATACTGTGCATGACAGAGACCTGTGTGAGTTATTTTCATCATCATTGTGACCAAATGCCTAACAGAAGAAGCTAAAAGGAGAGATACTTTTCATATTTCACAGTTTAGAGAGACATGGTTTATTATGGCAAGGAAGACCTAGTGGTGATGGGTCTCCATAGCCGCAACTGTATGAGGGACACACAGCTCCTCATACCTTGGGAGATCAGAAAGCAGAAAAAAACTAAATAGGCACCCTGGCCAGGCTATGAATCTTAAAGATATATCCAAAATGACCCAGATAGACTATACATACCCTAAAAATCATGACCCTCTAAAGACAAGCTATGCAAACACATGATTCTAAGAGGGATATTTCTTGTACAAACCATAGTTGGGACACTGCAGAGACCTATTTCTACTTCAAAGCACATTTCATAGGTCCAATGATACCGAGAAGCTCCACCAAACTCTAGAATACATGTGATTTGTTTTTGTGTTTTGTTTTATGTTTTGAGACCCTGTCTCACAGTATAGACCAAACCCTGGCTACCTTGTAACTCACTATATAAATCAGGCTACCACCATCCTGGTAGTAAGTCACTCTATCCTCCCAAGTTCTGGTACTAAAGGTGGGCACCACCACCCCCAGCCATATACGTGGCTTTCTTATTTTCAGCCAGAGTAGCATTGGATGTATCACCAGGTCTCTGGACATGTGGCAGAGAGGAGCAGGTGACAGACTTCCCAGAGACTTCCTTCCCAGAAGGAAGATCTTGAAACTGTGACAGGAGGAGAGGAGTGAAGAGCAGAGAGGCAGGCCCTGCATGTTTCTACCCATCAGGGAAGAAAGAAGTCCTCCCCATCAGTCTGTAGCTGTCATTAAAAGATCCTAGAGCACTGCCAAGTTCTTGCTGAGCCTCAGAAAGAGTAAACTTAGAGTTATAGGGTAAAATCTGACATGGTAATAGGGTTTTTTAAAGAATATTTTATTTTTTTAAAAAAGAGCAGCATGGGGCTTGGGGTTTGGCTCAGTCAGTAAAGTGCTTTTTATACAAGCATGAGACACTGAATCTGAGAGCATGCACATAAATGGCAGGCCCAGAAACAGCAGCAGTCCTACACACACACACACACACAGAGAGAGAGAGAGAGAGAGAGAGAGAGAGAGAGAGAGAGAGAGGAGGGAAAAAGGGAGGGAAGGAGAGAGAGAGAGAGAGAGAGAGAGAGAGAGAGAGATTTGTTTTAACAAAGAAAGCTTACCTGAAAATCAGAGTGTGGAGCTAGCCACTAGTTAACCATAGAGGCCAAGCAGTGGTGGTACACACCTTTTATCCCAGCACTTGGGAGGCAGAAGCAGGTGGATCTCTGTGAGTTCAAGGCCACCCTGGACTACAAGAGTTTGATCCAGTCTAAAAGAGAAACAGATCTCACACCTTTGATCCCAGCACTTAGGATCACATGCCTTTAATCCCAGTAGTAGGGAAGTGGAGATGGGAGTGGTATGGCTGGGCAGAGAGAGGAATATAAGACAAGAGGAGATAGACGCTCATAGCATTCAGTCTGAGGATTCCTGGAGACAGGATCACCCATTTGGTTTGAGGATTCGGTAGAGGTAAGAATTCTCTCTAGTGGCTGGCTCCTTTACTTCTCTGATCTTTCAGCATATAACCAGATCTCTGACTCCGGGTTTTTATTATTAAGACCTATTAGAACTCATGCTACAAATAGAGTCAAGAAGTCAAACAAGGCACTTGTTGTAAGGTGTCAAGTAAGTACTGGGTCTATGCCTTTGGATCTTAGAAACATCATGGGTCTTTGGGATCAGGGAGGGAGTCTATACATGGCCTCTCTCCTTCTTCACCCTGATGTTCATAGTCTGTGTAGCTGTATGACCACATCTCAGGTGTCCCTACCTGGCACAGCTGTCCCTCACCTTAGGAGCCTGTCATATTTGAGAAACACAGTCTGACTTCTGGTATTTTCTACAGTCCCAGCCGCCTTATCAACCATGTTTTACAGCCCCTGGCAAGTTCCAACAGAGGTTTCTAGACAAACAAGAGAGATCTATGGCCACAAAGGCCCACAGAGCTGAGATTCAGCCCTCCTAATATTTGAGCCAATCCCTACAGCATCTCGGGGGCCCAGGATGAGAAAGACTTCCTGATTTGGGGAATATCCACAGCAACTCTCTTGCCCTAACCCTGTTTGATGGAGACGTTTACCTTCTATTAGAAACCTAGAATAACATTAGCACAAATAAAGAAGGCTTCTTTTTCTTATGTAACAGAGAGCAAGGAGATGGTCCAAAACTCAGCCATGGCTCTCTGAGGTCAAAAACCCAAACTCCTTCTAGTTTTCAGCTCAGCTTTCCCTTTTGTGTGAGTTTGTTTTCAAGATCACAGAATAGTTGCTGAGCCCCTCATCATCAAATGTTTATGTTGAAGTCAGGAGAAAGAAAGGAAGCTGAAAAAAAGTATAGAAAGAGTAACCATGTCTTTTTTTTTTTTTTTTGTCACTAGCAAAATCTCTTCCCAACATACCATCCTTCCCTGCAGTACACTTCTTCTGTTTCTTGCTCTAAACTGAGTCTTGTGGCTGGAAATAATTTCAAGGGTGACTAGAAATGTGTCTATTTGGCTTTCCTACCTCTGTAGTAGGGGGAAAAAGAGATGGGGAGAATTGGGTTGCACAAAGATTATTAATCAATCATATTGGCATGTCACACTACACAGCCCAGAAAATTTGGAGCCTTTAAGAACTATCATGCTCCCAGTGGCTTTCTTTCCCTCGTTTTCCTCATGCTCTCAGTCCTGTCACTTCCTTAATTAAGCCCAGCTCCTGTGGTACCCAGGTATACCCAAGTGGGCTCCAGAAACCACAACAACTGCAGCTCAGGAAGGAGCTGGTGTTTCAAGAGGCCTAATTAGATTTGGATTCTGTATGAACTCACAATAGAATCTGATAGACCTTTCCCAGCCTGGATTTCTTTAAAAATTGTCATTAGGCCACAGACCAGATGCCATGGCGGTCCCTGCTCTGTCTCATGGTTCTTTTTGTTCTCCCTCTCAGAACTCTTCATAACTGATGATGAGCTCAAGAAAGTACACGATTTTGAAGAGCAGTGCATAGAAGAGTATTTCAGAGAGAAGGATGATCGCTTCAACTCATCCAATGATGAGAGGATACGGGTGACATCAGAAAGGTGTGTTCCCTGACCCTGCCTCACACAGATGCTTCCTAACACTGTCCATGTTACCATATGAATTAGTTGTTACATCTTCAAAACACAGACCTCTTATCTGTATTTTTACTGTCCAAGAAAACACAGACCTTCTGAAAGAACAGGTCATTGTCTGATCAGTCCACAGATCAAAGTCCCAGACTTTTCCAGGAGACAGTGAAAGCTTCTGCCTGGACAGGGGCATTGGTGAGTCTAGGACAGATCTGACATGGACCAGAAACTGGAAAGTTCTGTCCCAGACATAAAGCAAAGAAGACCCAGCCCCAACTTAGTCTCTTCAACAGGTTTATGTTCCATAATATAGATTATTGAGTGCTCTTATCCAGAAGAGAAAAGCCCCATGCTTAGCTTATGTGGTGTTCCATGCCTTCTAGATAAGCAAGAGCAAGGGTTCTATCAATCAGTGAGAACAATGATTGGTATTTTTCCAAGAAGTATTTTTGTTGTTTTTCTTTTTATAGAACAAGATTAAAAACAAAGAAATTAGTACAAAGTTTTCTATCCATATTCACTTATCACTTACCAACTGGCTTTGAGAGCCAAGAGATCTGTATGAAAACTCTGCACAAACACGAGTACCTGGGCTCAGCCCCATCACAAGACAGGTATGGCCTCATGCACACCAGTGGCCATGGTGTTGTCAGGGATAGAGACAGTAGGATCACTGGGGCTTGCTTGACTTAAAAAATGCAAGGTTCATGGAGAGACCCTGCCCACCCCTCCCAAAAAATGTGCAACACACACACACACACATACACACACGCACACACACGCACGCACGCACGCACGCACGCACATGCACACACTCATGACAGAAACTTTGATATGGAACACTTCTAAATCTAGGCAACTGCTCTTACATTTTCTTGTGTCTCTTATGTTACTATAGACTAATAAAACCATCATTCCAAGCTGGTATATTCATAACCTAGAATCTGGGACTAGCTTCCAAAAGAACACTCAGAGAGTGTCACAAAGAACTAGTGTAACTACACTTTAACTGTTTGTGCTATGAAGACAGAAAGAGCAAATGGTAAATACTTTAGAGGACAACATAGACTGGTAGCTGCAGTCAGTGTGCATGGGACGTCAAAGATTTAAAGCGACTTATTACTAACCTCCATGAAACGGCACTTTGTGTGTCTACATCAAAGATTCTTTATTAACTGTGTAGAAATCACATAAATTGCAATTTTTTGGTCCCTTGCTCTTTCTTTAAAGAACTCAGACTACATACATAGGTATAATCACATATGCCAATGAATGATTGTATCCATAGGTACCAAGCCAACATTAATAAGAGTTAAAGCTGTGCACAGATTTTACACACATCTGCCACCAAAAAATAGAGAGATTTATGATATGCTGTAAAGCAGTTCTCTGGCAAACAGAGGAAGGTGCTGAAATTCTGAAGCGCTTGATCATTCCGAGGCCTTGGAAAGCTGTTTATGAATGGACATATATCCGTGTGCTTCCAGAAAATAGTGCCATGTGGGAATATTACCATAGCTGAGACACATTTCCTCAGCATATGTCTTTGGGCCTTTGAAATGCTTTTTGAATTCAGAAAAACTGTAGGCCTAGGAGGCAAGAAAGGCAGGATGGGAAAGGCATATTAAGATGCCAGGAAGGCTTTGCCTCTCTGAGGAACTAGGATGAAGAGGCCCAGATGCTAGCACACATAAATATACTATGACCATATCAGCCTCTCCTTCTGGGAAACCCAGGAAGGAGCCAGAGTCTTTCCATGTCAGCAAACCCTGCAGGACTGCTCCCTACCCTGACCTGCCAGGGTAGTTTCTCAGAGTGTGAGTGAAGTGAGAAGGTACCAGGAATGCAAATGAAGCAGAAGCCTGCCCTTCTGGTTCAGGGGCAATAGGAAGACCAGGCCTCAAGAACCAGCATGGCCTCCTGAGCAAGCCCTGGGCCACAAGAAGCCTCTACTTCTGAGGCTTCTTCCTGGTTTTGGAGCTATACTGTGGCTATTGTTGGGTTCTTTGCATTTCTAAGAAAACCAAAAACTAGCATCTTCCAACAATGGAATGGCTCGGGTGCATTGGGAACCCACCAAGAGACCAAGGCATCCATATTGGCTGCCTCAGTATCCTCCAGGATATGTCTGTTCTGAGTGGAGTAGCAGCTCACATCACCTGCCTTATCCACAGCCTCTTAACAGAGACAAAGGCAGTTGGGAAAAGAGATCTGCACACATGTGTGTCTGTGTGTAGCTACATCGGTAGGAATGCTTATGGTTGCATTTCACTACTGATTGTACACAGTCCTTTTGACAGAGAGAATATTATGTAACTGTACCTTTGTGTTATACAACCTGAGTGCAGGGATTTGAAATCAGAAGAGCTAAGAGCTTATTCCTTTCTCATGGGCATGTGCTACCTCTCATCTTCTCTGTACCCTGTCGTCATCACCTTCTGAGTTAATCTGAAATGAACCAATCTCCATCTAGAGATGTGAGGGACAGAAGGAAAGCTAAAGTCAGGTTTCTTTCCATATAACATTGTGATTTTTTTCACAATGACCTTCTTTCTTAGTCACTGTATGTGTCTATCTCTTGGGGATTCCTATTGATGTGTAAATTCTTATCTCCTGTGTCTGCATTCTTCACTTAAGCTATTTGACCATAATCAGCACTGGCTGGCTGCAGCCATGACTAAGAATTCTTGGTGGGTTCTGTGTGTGCGTGTGGATGTGGAGGTCAGAGGACAACTTGCAGGGGTAGCTTCTTTCTCCCATCATGTACATCCAGGGATCAAATTCAGATCATCAGACTTTACCTGCTGAGCTATCTCACTGGTCCCAAACTTTTCAAGGAAAAAAAGAGTAAGTTTAAAAGAAACTATCTAAGCATTTATACCTAGTGTGCAAATGGACATTGGGAGCCCATTCCTCATGGAGGGATACTCTCTCAGCCTAGACACATTGGGGAGGGCCTACTATGCCCTGCCCCAAATGATGTGACAGACTTTGATGATCCCCATAGAAGGCCTCGTCCTTTCTAAGGAGCAGAAGAAGGATGGGATGGGGGTTGGTGGAGGGCATGGGAGAATGGGAGGAAGAGGGAACTGGGATTGATATATAAAATAAGATTGTTTCTAATTTAAATTTACAAAAGGAAAAAATAAAAGAAGCTGTCTAGAATAAACATAAAGTAAATTTGACTCTACATTAAGTTCCTTGCCATTAGGTCCATGCTCCTCCCATCATTAAAAATGGATTAACACTGGCCCTCCCTGTTTTCTATAAGACTTAACATACCAACTACATAGGAGTGCAGAGAAGTAGTGAGAATTGGTTAAAAATAGTTCATGAGCCTTTAATCCCAGTACTCAGGAGGCAGAAGCAGGAAGATCTTTGTGAGTTCAAGGTCAGCCTGATCTACATAGCATACTCTTTCCCCTCCAGCCCCTCCCTTTACCTATAATCCCTGCGATCTCTCCCTGTCAGCCCCTCTCTTTACCCATAATCCCTGCGATCTCTCCCCATCAGCCCCTCCCTTTACCCATAACCCCTTGCTGATTTCCTCTTGGAGAAGAGCAAAGCTTTTCCGTCTTCTAGCTTTATCCTCTACCTCCCCCAGCAGAGGGCCCTGACCCAAATGACTCTTACTCTCTGCTTCTCGGCACAGGGTGGAGAACATGTCCATGAGGCTGGAGGAAGTTAATGAGAGAGAACACTCTATGAAGGCTTCACTCCAGACTGTGGACATCCGGCTGGCACAGCTGGAGGACCTAATCGGGCGCATGGCCACGGCCCTGGAGCGCCTAACGGGTCTGGAGCGGGCAGAGTCCAACAAGATCCGCTCAAGGACCTCCTCAGATTGCACAGATGCGGCCTACATTGTCCGCCAGAGCAGCTTCAACAGCCAGGAGGGGAACACCTTCAAACTTCAAGAGAGTATAGACCCTGCAGGTGAGGAGACCATGTCCCCAACTTCTCCAACCTTAATGCCCCGTATGCGAAGCCATTCTTTCTATTCAGTCAATGTGAAAGACAAAGGTGGTATAGAAAAGTTGGAAAGCATTTTCAAAGAAAGGTCCCTGAGCTTACACCGAGCTACTAGCTCCCACTCAGTAGCAAAAGAACCCAAAGCTCCTGCAGCCCCTGCAAACACCTTGGCCATTGTTCCTGATTCCAGAAGACCATCGTCATGCATAGACATCTATGTCTCTGCCATGGATGAGCTCCACAGTGATATAGACCCTCTGGATAATTCCATGAACATCCTTGGGCTGGGCGAGCCAAGCTTTTCAGCTCTAGCCCCATCCACAGCCCCTTCAAGTAGTGCCTATGCAACCCTTGCACCTACAGACCGACCTCCAAGCAGGAGCATTGATTTTGAAGACCTCACCTCCATGGACACTAGATCTTTTTCTTCAGACTATACCCACCTCCCAGAATGCCAAAACCCCTGGGACACAGACCCTCCAATGTACCATACCATCGAGCGTTCCAAGAGTAGCCGCTACCTAGCAACCACACCATTTCTTCTGGAAGAGGCCCCCATTGTAAAATCCCATAGCTTTATGTTTTCTCCTTCAAGGAGTTACTATGCCAACTTTGGGGTGCCCGTGAAAACAGCAGAATACACAAGTATTACAGACTGTATCGACACAAGGTGTGTCAATGCCCCTCAAGCAATTGCTGACAGAGCCACCTTCCCTGGGGGTCTCGGAGACAAAGTAGAGGACTTATCTAGTTGCCACCCTGAGCGAGAAGCAGAGCTGAGCCATCCTAGCTCTGACAGTGAGGAAAATGAGGCCAGAGGCCGGAGAGCTGCCAATCCAATCTCGTCTCAGGAGGCTGAAAATGCAGACAGAACCCTATCCAACAACATCACAGTTCCCAAGATAGAGCGCGCCAACAGCTACTCGGCAGAGGAGCCAAACGCGCCATATGCACATACCAGGAAGAGCTTCTCCATCAGTGACAAGCTTGATAGACAGAGGAACACCTCAAGCCTACGAAATCCCTTCCAGAGAAGTAAGTCCTCCAAGCCGGAGGGCCGAGGGGATAGCTTATCCATGAGGAGACTGTCTAGAACATCGGCTTTTCATAGCTTTGAAAGCAAGCACAACTAAACCTTCTTACCATGTGTTGCAGGAGGCTCAAGAATCCAGCACTAAAATTCTCCCCATGCCCACCTTGTTCCCCCTTCCTTGAGTTATACCTGCTTTACTCTTAGCTGAGCAAAACAATGCCTTGGGAGATGTTAACTCAAAGGTAACCTCGGGCCACAGGTCAAGCAAGCTTTCCATCTGGCCCAGTGCCAAATTCAGGGTTTGAAGGCATGTTCACACTTGCTGGGAAGGGAGGGGACAGAAAGGGGTTAGAGAGGAATGTGTGTCATCATCAGGCACCACAGAAGGCCATGAGCTCTGGGGAACAAATGGGCTCAAGCATTCTCCATGCCGGCAGGCCTCTTGGGACTTCTGCCCTGTTATCAAGAGTTGAGGAGACAGGGCTAAATTGCAAAATGAGATAAAGTAGCCAGCATACAAGATGAGATATTCTAAACTTCAATTCTGTTTTCTTTTCACATTGGTTCCATCACTGGTGACTGATGAAGAGCATCCTTTTTATTCAGTGTAAGCCGGCAGCAAGCAGTTCTACCTAACGTCCCACATCCTTCTCATGCCAACACTTCTGTAATTGGTCATTATAAAGAAAAACAAGGTAACAGTCATATATACAGTTCACCTGTCTCTTATATATTCACTTCTGGTGCCACAATTGTTTATCTCTGTAGAAGAAAATAAGGGAACAGAAATGCCTTTTTTTTTTCTCTTTTGGTTTTGCAATCAAAATGAAAGAAGAATTAATGTTGAAAGCAAAAGTCTTATGATTTATAATATACCATGGGCAATCAAGTATATAGTCAAGCAAGCTCAGGATGAATGTAATTAGATAATTTTATATTTTTAAGTTATTTTGTATCTCACCTGTCATCAGTGAATTCACTATCAAATATGTAATATTGAACTAAAAAAAAAAGTGGAAAGAACTGACATTAAATTGCCACGTGGGATTATTGTTAGCGTCTCGCCATTCATCGTGTGTGATGCTGCTGTGTGGCCTTCATCATTTGCATGTCTCCACTATGTCCTCCGAACACCTCCAAGATGTAACTGCCAAATTTTCACACCACTCATCATGTGACCATTTTGTATTTGAACACATGGTTATATGTGGATATTTTCATACGTAGAATTTAGCCATCTAATCTTGGGCTCAGCATAAATTTAATCGGAGTTTTTCAAGGGCTGGTATCTTTTTTATGGAAATGTTCCAAAGTACTCTTGTTTTTGTTTTTGAGACAGGGTTTCTCTGTGTAACAGCTCTGGCTGTCCTGAAACTCACTTTGTAGACCAGGCTGGCCTTCAACTCACAGAGATCTGCCTGCTTCTGCCTCCCTAGTGCTGGGATTAAAGGCTTGTGCCATCACAACCCAACTCCAAAGTACTTTTTAAAGAAATTTAAAAAACATAAATAACCATAGACTTGACTAGGGGCTTGACATCAACCCAAAGCCATCATCAGCTGCAGGCAGACCATGAATATGTTTCTTATTTACGGAGCTCTAAAGAAGATACAGTAGGCCAAAATAGAAAGCAAATATACCATATACAGTTCTATAGTTTATGTTGCTTATGTATACATCCACATACACAGACACATGTTTATATAGAGTAATAGACACAGAGATTTCTTAAGTGGCCTTGACTTCCTGTCATCTGGAGGTATAACCAAGATTATTTTTTAGTATCCAAGGAGTTTTGTTGGAAAAATAGTTCATTGTGCTATTGGCCCCACTGTTGAAATAATACTTTCCAGAAAATCTCTGTCTCTTTAATCTTCCCTTACACTGAACAAGAACTGTCAAAATGGCTCACCCCTTCCCTCTCCCTCCTCTGGTTTGGAGGCATCCAATGTCATGACATCTCTTTCACTCTGGTTTCTCGGACATGAAGTTATTCCCACAAAATACAATCTGAATAGATGTGTGATTGCAAGCCTGTTTGTATTACACAGTCTGGAATGGAGGCGTAAGTTTCTAGATTAGAATTCAGATTTGAAATAGGATGAAGAAATCTTGACCACAAAACTTTGGATTCCTATTTGGATCATTGAACATTTTAAGATAAAGTCTTTAAGAAAAATTATTTGGAGCCAGGCGTAGTGGTGATGCACACCTGTGACCCAGCACTGGGAGGGAAGAGGCAGGAGGATGAGGAATTCAGAGTCAGCCTCTGCTACATACCACATCCAAGGCTACATGAGACCCTGTCACACACACACACACACACACACACACACCAAAAAAAAAAAAAAAAAAAAAAAAAGGAAAGAAAGAAAAAAAAACATTGTAAAAGAAAAGTATTTTGAACTAGGGATTGGGCTCAGTGGCCCAGCACTCACTTAGCATACTCAAGGCCCTATGTTCCATCCCCAGGAGGAGGAAGAGAGGGAAAGAGAAAACAGAACATGTTTTCATGCCCCTGGCCCCAGATGCCCCCTGGTTCTTTTAACTGTAGCTGTAAACACCAAGGTGTATCTCATTTGGTGAAGTCAACTCAATCCCTCACAAAACCTCTGAGCTTTAAAAAAAAAAAAAAAAAAAAAAAAAAAAAAAAAAAAAAAAAAGCTTTTCAGCTGAAAAAAAAAAGTGGCAAGCTCACATATGTGAAGAATCCTGTTTCATCCTTGACTTTAGGTAATGCCCAACCTCTTCATTGATAACTACACTAGAGACACTTCCTAATTGGTGATCTCCCTCCCAGCAGACATGTGTTGAACCTAAAAAGTAAATCATTTGACACTAAGCTTCCTTGAGCCATGAATCCCTGCGAAAACCTCATGGAAACTCTGAACCCTCTACCCCCCCCCCCAACACACACACACACACATACCCCAAATTTGCATCCATGTTAAGGCACAAGGTAACTTTAAGGGATTCATGACTCCCCTGGTTCCACAGTGACTGATGAGGATAGACACCTTGTTCACCATCAGTCAAGCTGGAATAGGCACGATACACTTGTACACCACTTCCCTGTGATTCTCTGGAAGGCTGAGTCTCAGCCCTTCTGTTCCTTAGAATAGATATGGTTAGCTGGATATCATTGCGCCCTAACATTTTCATGACTGAGTAGCAAGCATCCTCAGAGTCTTTGCCTGGAATCCATAGAGGAGCCCAAGGAAATGAAGTCATCATCTGTGACCATAGAGCAGGGTACCAAGCACCATGGGGCCTGGCTTGGGACCTCAAGGGAGAGAAAGAAAGGACAAGCCTGAGTGTTTCTGTTTGTTGTGATCACCTGAGAGAAAGAACGTGACCTGGGAAAGGAAACACTTAACAGTCCTGAGCTTTCATTCTGCATGAAAATTAAGTGCTAACCTCCTTGGTGAAGTGTGTGAAATCTCTAAGCCAAATGTAAACAACTTTAGACACAAACTGTGTAGGCCTCATAAGCCATCTCTTTCCTGTGCACATGCGTGTGTGTTATTTTCAATCCCATCTTCTTCCATTTCTGGGTTCTCCGAGCACCAGTGTGGCATTGATTCTGTGGCCTTGTACAGACAGCTTGTGTTCATTTGTTCTACCATGTCCCTGACAGAGGAGACCTTAATTCCCCACTTTGTGAACTACGAAGCTCATGAGCAGCCAATCATTGAGGACCATACATAAATAAAGTCATAGAGGGCTCAAGAAAGAGATAGCTTATTTAATCGTCTGCTTCATAGGTGCCAATTTTTATATACTGCGATGTGTAATGATTTGTTCTAAATTGCTTGCTTGTTCCTTTGAGGAAAGAAATGAAGGATGTTTTATAAAAATGGCCATATTTTATATTTATGGTTAGAAACTGATGGGTTTGAATGGAGTGCTAGAAAGCAAGAGGATAATTGTCATGGCCAGTTTGTGTTTCTGCAAGCCAAAAGGAGGACAGTCAGAGTGCGGCACTTTATAGAACTGGGTGTTTCTTTAAAGTTGAAGCTTCCAGGACCAGTTATTATTTAGCACTTTGAAAGTTTCCCCTTTAAAAGAAAAAAATATATATATATATATACATATACCAGAATAATGAAATGGGAGGGGGGTATACTTGTGAAAACACAAAATGTGTTTCTTCTGAATGTTACAAATGTACTTTAAAATCTGATTTCTATAGATAACATTATGGTAGATCACTGGATAGTACGTTTCTTTCTCCTTTCTGCAGCTGTACAATCTAATCTTCCTGGATATTTGGGCTGTTTGATTTCTTTAAAGATAATATTATCCAGTTATCCATCATGCTATATCTATAGGCTATGCCATGTGACATGTTGGGCAATGCTGTATTATAAAACACATGTAAACCTATCTGTAACCTGTGTTTAACCCAGCATAGTTGTAGCATGTGGTTGTGTTAATGAACGTTACAGGACAGCTTTATAATCATTTATAAATCTGTAACATTCAATAAAGAAGCACATATGGCAAGGATTAACTCCGCTCCCATTTCCATGTTATTTAGCAGCTCCGGTAATGGGCATTTTTGTTCCTGGTCTTCATTATGTAGTTCACATGCCTCAGACTACTGTCAAATATTTGTATATGCTGATGTGCATCTTCTACCAGGTCCCACCAGCTGTGCGAGGCAGGGCATGGCTCTGTGAGAGGCAAGCTGGCATGTTATGCAAAACACTATCAAACAAATGAACTTAAATATTTTAAAGTCCAGTTGAATTAGCTGTGTTGTTTACATCTGCTGGCCCCATGTGGAAGCAGTGTACAGTATTTTATAAATACGTTCATTCAGTAACGCTGTCTGTTCTAGATAAAATGATGCTCACGTTTAGGCGGCTGTATACTTGGCCTAGATACTGCATTCAACTCACTAAGCTTTACAGTAATAATGTGACTTGACTGAAGTAATCCTTCTCTGAACCCAGTCTTAATTTTGTGTCGGCACAATGCACGCTGTGCTGTATGGCTTTCTTTTGACTCTTTAATGCACTTACATTATACTCTTGTCTGCTGCAATGCTTAAGCCAGTTAGGGACCCACTCAGATTGTTGGGCTTCTTAAACTGGGGCTACTTTCAGTTTTCAAAATGAAAAAACAAGTAATCAAGGTTTTTTTTTTTCAATTTTGTAAAGCTCTGAACAAATAATATGAAATAAAGTATCAACTGCAAGTTGCAATAGCTAGGGGACCCAAAGATGGCAAGCCAGCACCACTCTGGAGTCCCAAGGTCTAGGTGTGGGGACATCTGTGATATATGAAAGACACATCTTGGATTCTTTAGGGCTTCCTGGGTGAAAATTGCTAAACCAGAGATGAAAGCCAAAGGTCCATGGTGACAGGACAGAAATGCACAGATCACTATGAGAGAATGGTCTCAACGGTAATGGCTGAGACCTCCCTTCTCGTCCTGTGGCTTTCACAGCCTGTGGGTGACTGGGCCCAAATGTGGGAATGGAGTGATTGTCTAATGAAGCACCAGGTGACTCCAAAGAGTTTATTCTTTAAACAAGACGCTGTTCCATTGTTATAAGCCCTTCAACGTCTGGAAAGGGATGGATCCAACTTGCACAGTCTAAATGCTTCCAAGATGAGCAGGGAAACCTTTCTCTCCACCAGCTCTGCCCTGTGCTGTCTCTTGTGTCTACGAGTCAAGCATCCTGTCTCTCAGATTGGAGTCAACAAAAGAGGGGTTGGCTCTGATAAAAGAAGAACAACTTTTTCTTTTCTTTTCCAAATCCACTTCTGAGCGTTAGTGTCACCTTTGCTCTCCTGACTTCTTTGCACTGGTTACCCCTAGTAGAAATCAAGATGTACGGATGTCTGTGTGTCATCTGTACAGAGGTGTAGGTGACCAGATCATCCAGATTAATCAGAAGAGGTGTGTACCTTTCCTAACTTTCCTGGAATAACTGGCTGCCTTCTGCTGGCAGCACATGATCCCCTTCATGAAATGTGAAAGGATGGATGTCTGATGCCCATAGACTCTGAGGGGCATCAGTGCCAGCCATGACGCCAGCCCCTGGGGAGGCAGATTGCTGAAGAATGTGATGGAAAGGCTTGGGGGCACAGCCTTTTTCGTTTTCTTTCTTTTTTCTTAGTCTAAAGCTAGCTCCTTTTTTTTTTTTTTTCCGAGTGTGTGAGACCAACAGACTCATTCATTACCTCATATCCCTGTGGACCCCAAAACAGTACCCCCAAACATCAACTACATGGAAAAAGCCAGATTTTCTGAATTTGGCCTTCCAGCTGACTTTACCTCCTCCCTCTAACCACTTCCTAACGTGGCTGCTGTGGCACCTGTCACATCTGATTCTGAATTGCCTATCTGAATCCCGAAAGGCTCTCTACATCTTCACCTAGTCATCTGCCTCTCCATGAAGGGGTTACAAACTCAATCCAAGACCCAGAGCTAGAATGCAAAGGAATGGGCCTAGAGAAGACAATGCCAGCAAGATTTGTTGAGCATGAAAACATATACATCGCACAGAAAGATTAAAAATTGGGATTTTCAACCCCTGTATTAGCCACATACATGTCTGCCAGCAGTATTTCAATGGCCATGTTTGGGGGTCTCTGATGTGGAGCCAAGGCAGGGTCTGATTCATGATTCTGGAACACATCAAATACACTGAAGGACTTCGAGTTGGGAGAAGCAGCTCAACCTATTTGGGGTGACTCCTGGATGACTTCCATGTGTGTTGATTAGCATGTTTTACTGTATCCAAACATAGGATCAGTGTGAGGAAGGCTATGAGGAAGGATGTTGTAGCATGTGAAGACTTGCTTCCTGTCACTGGGGCATCTGCCCTGAGTTTATATTGCTGCTACCACTGTGTAAGACAGTCCGTGTAGTCAGTACACTATACTCATAGCCATTTCCTAATCTAGCACTTAGACTGTCACTTGTAAATGCTCTAACCATAGTTTATAATGGGGGAAATTATTCAGATACCATTTTTAAATGAATTCCTATAAATACAATGATTTTGAAATTGGGTTTACTAAATATACATACATCTTTTCCTTCTTTCATGTAAGATAGAAAGAGGTTTGCATATCTACTGACACTATGAATATATATATATATATATATATATATATATATATATATATATAGATGTATAGGCATTGTTCTTTTTTAACAGTCTGTTACTGGATTCACAATGCACTTTGAGCTTGTCTGTTTAGATATATAATTTGAAGCAGAAGTTGGCAGATACTACAGGCAAAGAACTTTCTGGAATTTCTGTAACAAATGTTTTCAATAAAA